AATTCTGACTTTTTTTTCTACCTATGTGGAATAATTCTGACTTTCCCCTCATAATTCTGAGAATAAAGACAGAATTGAAGAGACTATTATTTTTTTTTCTTTTGAATGGCCCTAATCCTCTTCCGTATCTCTTTGAGAGGGGCGGGTTTAAGATTTTATGCTGGGGGTTGCCAGATAGGGGCACAGACCCCAAAAGTGTGGAACATTGTCGCGTTATATGTATGAAATGAAATAGTTACTAATAGTTAATAATGAAAAAACTTCATAATTATGGAACATTTTATTGCAAATGTCCAACTTTAAAATCAAATACAAAAAAACAAACAAAAAACACTTGTATGAAAATACTCTCTGGTATTGTTCAGGGAGCCGGACCAAGTGTGGAGGTGGGCCGGATCCGGCCCGCGGGCCGTAGTTTGGGGACCACTGTCTTAAAGTGTTGAATTTAACTCACCTTATGCTGTAGGAACCCTGGATAGTTTTAATAATAAACACGTTTATGTTCATAATGGGAACATCATGGAAAGTCATAGTGAGGAAAAAAGAGGCCCCAATATTGACCCCTGAGGAACACCGACTATGTATTTATAGGCAAACCTATTTAACTCTACATGGAAGGAAGAAGACAAACTATTTAATCTCGCTCCATATTCACACATTAACTTTTTAACTGGATATTTAGTAAATCGTGTTATCTAAAAAAATGTTTTATCTTAATATATTTCCTCATTAATCCCACTGCTCCAGGCAGGGAGTCCAGCTGGAGCTTCGCTGCTTTTTCACAAATGATGCGTTTTCTTTTTTTTTAACTTGACTTTGAGGTTTTTTAACCTAAACTTTTGCTAAAATAACAGATTTTTCTCGGCTGCGGTTTAATCAGGATCAGGATTTCTTTGCATTAGAAACAGAAACCTTATTTTACAATTAAATATTTCTGATAGGTTGTTTTCTGTTAAGAGTTCAAACCAGTTTGGATCTGAAAACATTAAGGTTTTGTTAATGTGAGCAAACGAACAACAGATGAAAAAAATCAAAATAAAAGGAGAAAAAAGATTCAAATTAAACTAGAATATATTTAAAAAAAAACATGAGAGGACCAGTTAATGATGTGATTTAAATGTTTTTCTTTAACTTCTTAGAGAAATCGATGAACGGCAAGTTTTTCATGTCGGATCTGAAACATTAAAACTGATCCAGTTTTTTAACAGAACTTTAAACTAGTTCTTCTTGAGCTGCAGAGGAATTAAAATCTAAAACGATTTTTTCCCTCAAATGTTGCTGTTGTTTCCTATAATCGAAGAACTTCTGGTCGATCAGTCCCAGTCAGAGTTACTGGGAACTATTAGAACAGTTTCATTGTGTAGCTTGTGGTTCCTGACAGTGCTGGTTTTTCCTGCGGTTCCCTGAATGTTACACGGCTCTCTCTGTCCAGACTACACAGATCTGTCTGTGGGCACCGTGACCCAGACTCAGGCCATCCCGTTCACCGGACCCATCTCTCTGCTGGTGAGCCAGCTGAGGAACCTGGCAGGTAAACCAGAACCCCCCCCCCATGGGCTTTGATCCCTCCCCCTCCTCCTCTCCGTTTGATTTTTACTCACCCGCTGCCCGCTCTGCCTGGTCTTTCTTCAGGTGACGTTCAGCAGGTGGAGAAGGCGGAGAAAATCACGGTGAAGATCTTCGAAAGCATCACCCTGGTTCATGAAGCCGGCATGGTGCTGCTGGAGGTCAGGCTGCAGCAACACTTCCTGCTTTACTTTCAATATTTACTCAGAATTATCATCCGTGAAGAAGCATTTAGAAAACATGTCTGCAGATTATAACTATCAGAACATTGAGGCGTAAAGTTAAATAAAAGATTTTGGTAACTAAATAAAACTAAAGCTGATCAAAGAGAAACTGATTTTATTATAAATGGAGCTTCACTGATATTTAACAGTCAAAATGTATGAGAGGAAATTAAGTAAGGGATGTCAGAGGTGCCAAAAAATGCCAATTAATGTCAGAGTACAAATTAATAAAAACGTAATACTTGTTCACATAAACATGTATTAAAAAAAAGGTAAATAAATATCCTTTTATTATAAAAAAATTGGGAATATGTTTAATGGCAGGATATTTATATATGTTTTTGTTCCTAAAAAATATATATCTCTTATTGATTTGGATGTATCGTAATCGTTTTTTTATGGTCTTGCTGATTTAATTTTGGCACAATTAAAAAAAAAAAATAAAAAAAAAGTTTAGTTTTATAAACTTTGCTGTGATTTTAAAGTTTAAAAAGAAAGAAAAGAAAAATTACACAAAAGACATGTTAATGGTGTTAAAATCTAGAATTTGATTTAAGAAATTAAGATTTGAATTTTGATCTTTTTTTAAACCAAAGTATGGAACATAAGAAGCGCTAAAAAATAAAACAAATATAGAACCAAAAAATATAGATTTTTCTCTTGGAATATGTAATACATGCATTGTAAATTAGATTTTTTAGAAATTTGTTTTTTTAAACAAAGATCAAACTACTGGAAAAAAAAATATATATATATATATAAATATATTTATATATAAAGGTTAAATGAACTTCATCATCTGTATAAAAATCAGAAAAAAATAAACATTTCAGAATGTAGATTATATTAATATTTAAAAACTATTCGCATTTATTTGAAAAATACTTTAGCTAATATTTTCACAGAATTAGAATTAATGACAAGTTTTTACCTTCTGGTTATTTATATAACTATTAATGAATTTTTAAAACGTATATTTCAAATATTTTGGCAGCAAATTTAAGGGTTTTGTATTTGTTTACATTTATAGGTTATTATTATGCAAAGTTAAGCCTCGTCACACCTTGACGATTTAGGTCGGCATATGCCTGACGTATGAAACATCTGGCAAAAACTTTATGATTACGCTGAAACACGTCAACATACGGCAAGTTATGACGTATGCCAGCG